CGAGATAACTAGGGAAAAGGGGATAAGTAACGGGATGTAGAAGAAGAATAGATTTAATGTTGCACTGCGCTGTGCTGTGCTGCTAGAGTGATGGGGGCATGTAGTGCGGGTCGTGTGCAGAGAGCTTGTTTTTTATTTTATTTTTATTTCCTCTCTAAGTTCAAGGAGTAATAATATGGTTCCTTGAAGAATGGAAACCCAAAAGAAAAAAAAAAAGGTACGATGAGAAGATTATTAAAATTTTAATACGATAAAGTTTTTTTTTAAAAAAAAATGTTCATTTATTTTAATTTTGTTATAAACACCTAGTTGTAGATGTTAATATGTGGATGGGATAGTTATTTAAGAGGAGTAGTGGTTTTTATATATATGTATATTTTTTTGGTGATGATGATGATGCGCCAGATGCGATGACTCCCCAGAGCTACAAAAAAATAATGGGCGCGTGCGCGCAAGTTGAGATTGGCTGCACCACACCTCTACAACTCAACACGACTAACAGAGTAGGTCCATGCGTGTTTGTTCAGTCACGCATTGAGAGAGAATAGAGGAGGTTATCTTATAGAGCGCATTTTACGGAATGTGAAGAAAAAAAAAAAAGGAGAGTCAATATAGAAATGAGTCAATATGAAATCAAAACGGGGTATGGTGCGTTATAATATTTATATATAATTTAGAAAGTGAAGATAGATTGTTTTGGTTCGGGGAGTAAGAGGCTATTTCAGAAGAGCATTTTATTTTGGGATTTAAAATGCGGTGTTGATTTCCAGATTTGAAAGGGAAAAAAATAGTGTATACAAATACCACGTGGATTCCCTTGTTTATCAGGTATCTTAGATAAGAAAGATATCAAAGATATCAAAGATACGTCACTCAGGAGTCTCGCAAGACTCATCTGATAGTCAGATCAAAGGCTATGGATCCCTATTGGGATCATTCCGTATTTGGAGAGGAAAGTAAATAAAAATGCAGGCTAGCAGGTAACATAAGATTTCTTATAGGTTTTTTTTTTGTGCTCAAGGATTATGACGATATTTTTTGTGATTGTTGTTTTTTTAGGGACTAAAATGGGTTCACTTTTTTGTTACAAGGCTTATGACAATAAATTTGGAGGAATTATTCTAGGTACCGGACAGACCTTCTTATTTAAGACAAGTTTGAAAAGAGAGAGAAAGAGCATTTAATGGCATCTGTTTTGAACGGATTGTTAAATTCAACAGGTTAACAACATGATCTGATGTGTAGCTATGGCAGCAGGTGGTGAGCATCAGCCGACATTTCTGAATCAAAAAAAAAAAAGAGAGAGAATCCAGAGCAAACGGGGTATGGGGGATAAGTGATTGCTGGCAAATCTAAAAGAGTAAAGAGAAAGAAAGGTAACCAGGAATTTCATGATAAGCAAGAATTTTGAAACCGTTTAGAAAAGACATGGAGGATTTCAAATGGGAGGAGGAGGTTGAATAAGTTATCAAACAATAAAAAAGGTAAGTTTGAAAATTGAAAGGTAATTTAATTTAATTATTCAAAAAATAAATAAATAAATAAAAATAAAATAACACAGGTCTCATGGATATAACCGGTAATCCACTCGCTAAACAGTGTGTTCATAGTATAATACTGTTGGATCGATTTCATTTTAACTTCATTCTTGGTTTTTTTTTTTCTTTAATAATAATGATAAAATTTTTGTCACAGATGTTATTATAATATTATTATTACATTTGAAAATTATTTTCATCAGAAACCTGTCTCAGAAAAAAGAGTAGGCTGAAAAATAACTAAAAAAAAGCCTTCAAAGTGTTTATGGTATCTAAGTAACAACAGGCAACGACAACATACGTTTCCATAAGTTCAAACAGTTTCCAGGAAACGAAAGTAAAAGACATTTAGAGAAAATTTTTTCTTTGATATTTTTTTTTCTCAAGACATTAAAACGTTTATGAATCACTGTTAAAAATAACAATGTAAATGAAAAAAAAATTTTTTTCTTCGAATTTTAAAAAAAAAAAAGTGACGCACCAAGTTCCAGAAATAAATAGAGAATAGCAATAGATATATACATATATATAATAATCATTTATTCAAAAAAAAAAAGTACCGTATAATGTGCGCCCGCCGGTATGCCGTTTTAAAAACGAGAAGAAGAAAAACGGGTAGAGAGAGAAAAAAAATTTTAAAAAAAGAAGGGCACGTTTTTTTTTAGTATGGGATCTGGATAATTTCCATTTCGGGATGTGTGAGAGAAGAGAGAGAACTTTGTGGTTATTGAGGTGGGAATAATGTCCAAAGAGAACAAACCACTCAAACAGTTAATTTATTTATTTATTTCTTTTTATTTTAAAAAGAAGAATAAGAAATAAAAAAAAAAATTTGACATATGCTTATCTACAAGAGTCATCCTTTAGGTTATAAAAGAAAGTAGAATCAAAAAAAAAGGTCCATTTATTGGGAAATGTCGATGATGTCAAAGCAAGAAAACAAATAGCCAGAGTGCATTTTTAGTCATAGCTACAGTCATAAGTCACCTGAACAGTTATTTGAAAAAAAAAAAAAAAAAAAAAAAAAAAAGGTCACAATAACCGGCAGGGCCATTAATAAAAAAAATTTTTTTTTTTCTTTTCACTTGGGATTTCATTTTGACAGAAAAGTGTGATTGACATTTCTTCTTTTTTCGGAAAGGACGTTACGGTTCTTTTTTTTTTCCATTTTTTTAGAAATCGATTACACCTTGTTAGTCATTTACACGTTGAAAAAATAAAATAAAATAAAATAAAATAAAAATAAATTGCTACGCGTTAAGGTCCTTAATGGCCATGTTCCTGAAAATTGTTTATTAGTATTTGTCAGACTGACAGGGTGTTTTATTACATCGAAAGTACTAGAAAAATTCAAGAAAGATTAACAAGAATAAATGTTTGAAAAGTGTTTTTTTTTCCAACGATTTTCACATCCTCAATAAATAACTGAATACCCCTTATATTCATTTATACTAACCCTGAAAAGAACATCAAAGAAATGAATGGAAAAGGGGTATATAGGGGATTGATGAAAACCACCTTGTTTTGATTTAAAACTTTTGGCATTCCTCGGAGAATATGCCAAAAGATGAAAGGCTGAGCTTTTTTTTTTTTTCTTTCGTCCTTAAAAATTTTTTTTTTTTCATGAAAAATTTGCCCAAAACGGAAACCTTTGGAAAAAAATTTGTAAGCACATGCGTGAATGCTTTCGTAATACATACGATGGGGCGTCGATTTGTAGAGAGAAAAAAAAAAAAAAAACACTCATACACAGATAGAAAATAAATCAAGGCTTAGTTTTTTATTTTTTTAAACGATTGGAATTGTAAATATTGTGATTTATTAAAAAATTGATTTATATTGATATTTAGGAATTGAATGAGATTTTTATTGTGGATCAATGGCTACAGGAAAATAAAAAAAAAAATTTTGTATATAAGGAGAGTGAAAACTTCCCCGTCTTTCAGGCTTTTCAAAATGTTTTAGATCGTAGACTACATTTGCAGCATTCTTATTTTTTTCCCTGCCAACTGAAAAAAAAAAAAAAATAATAATAAAATAATCAAGCAGTAGCAGCACACCTGAGCTGGTTTTTATGGTTGCATCTTTGTACCATGTCGACTTGGAGTGGTATCAGGGTCGACGAGAAGATTTGTACAATGTAGGAGGAGGGGATGAATAAAATGTATTGACGGTGGATGACTGAGACCACTTTTTTTTTTTTTTTTCTTCTTTCAAAAGCTTTAGCTGTGACAACCGTAACCATCGTCACATCTGCGTTACCTGAGAAGAATGAGGTTGTTTAAGAGAAATTGGTTCAAGTGTTTCTTAGGAGAAGAAAAAAATAAAATAAAATAAAATAAAAAATTTTTTTTTCCATGTCGTTCTGTATGATCGATCTAACGTTTGGCGGGAGGATACCTTAGGGGCTCTATTCAATATTATATAGAAATCACTATTACTATAGTTATTATGGGTGTAGAATAGCTTGTCTGTATTAAAATAAAAAAAAATTGGTGTAGAAAAAGCGTGTTTTTTTCTAATACTTATTAAACTTTGATATTAATACCCAGGAAGGTACTCTTTTTTTTATTTAACAATAATTAGGAGTGAAATTTTTTTTTTTCTTTTATTTTTAATATTGCACAAGTTGATGAATGAATGATATTGAGGGATTGAGTTTGTTTGTTTATAATAATAATGATGATGGAATTGCGTTTTTGCACATTATTTTCGTGAGAAAGTCAATTTGATTGAAAATTTTATTTAAGTTACCAAAAGGTAAGTTATTAATTTTTTTTTTATTTTTTTTGAGTTATAAGGAGTTGCGCAACAACACGTGCGGGTGAGGCCAAACGGTAAGTGGGCGGTTTTTTTTTTTTTTCTTTTAAAGTACACACACACGTTTTTTGTTAGTCAAAGTGAGGCCAAGTCATGTGATTGAGCAAAAAAAAACGTGAGTCAGCCTAGAGCGCCCAGTGCACAGCCAAAAATAAATTAAATATAAAAAATAAAAATATAAATAAATAAATAAAAAAACGTGACTAATAAAAGTGGGTTATTAATGATACTTGACGGCCACAAAATGATGCCATCCCGCGAGAAAATTTTTAAAGAGGGGAGAGGGAGGTATATAGAGTCATAAATTAGATTTATGACATGTGTGCCCAGAAGAGTCAGCCTCTACCAATTTAGTCACTGCCCTCTCCCCTCTCTCTCTCTCTCTCTCTCCCAAAAAACACCTTTTTAACCCCCCTCCCCAAAAAATATATATATCTCCCCCGAATCCCAGTTTTTCAAAATTTTTTTTCTTCCTTTCCTTTCTCTTTTTTTTTATTTATTTTCTTTATCATTCAAACAAAACTTCAACAATCTCAATTCTCAATTGTTAAGCAATAAACAACAACAATCTTTTCAATAAGACACTTCCAGTATATACAATCTTATAGACTTTACATACACACACATATACAATCAATAACAATGTGGTCCCACGATTACTGCACCGTCTGCGATAAGCAATGCCCTCCCGGCACTATGTACTGCTCAGATGTCTGCCGGGTTAGAGAACTGAATAAATCTTGCGAAGTCTCTTCTTCTTCCGATTCAGTTTACTCTTCTCTCTACACAACAACCCGTCATCACAGCTTGAGTTCACCACTGCCTGCTTGTGAAGGCATCAACTGCACTTCAACTACTTGCGTTTGCTCAGCACCTTCTAGTCCTTTGGCTATCCCCCACAGCCACCACCACTCTTCCAGATGCTCTTCTTCAGATGCAGATTACTTTTTCGGCGGCTCTCAATCGCTATTCTACAATAGCTCGAATTGCTCCTCTTCCTCTTCTCCCTGCACTCCTGAGCTGAGCCCAGCACTCACAATCTCTTCAGCCTCACCTTTATCTATCCAGAGCAGCGAGTATCTTTATGCCGGTGCCCCACGACATGCTATGGTGCCTTCTAATGCTAAGAATGACACCACCCAGCTGTCGCCACCACCTTCGCCGCTCATGATTCCTTCATCTTACTACTACAAGTCTTCCACAGCTTCCAATGGCAACGAGAAGACCAGTCCTTACAAGTTGAGTGAACGGGGTCATTCTACTGCAAGTGAATACACAAATACATCGAGCAATTACAGACGATGGCTCTCAGCTGTTTAACCAGCTTGAGTCTAGGAAAAAAAAAACTCCAAAAAAAACCCTTTGCATCGAATAAACCAAAAACCACTTAGCATTTTAACCAACCCCCCAAAAAAATAATGACCTTTTTAAAAATTGTGCAATCCACATTTAAATACGAACTCTTAAAAAAATATTAAAAAATCATGTTAATGAAAAAAATGGAACAAAAAAAAATTGTATTATAAAAATTATATAGAAAAAAATACATTGGAATTTTAAACACTGGGAACTTTAAAAAAAAATTTTTTTTTTATTTTCATTTCTTTACAAATATTTTAAATCTTTTTAGAAAGTTTGTCGGAACCTTGTTAGTCAATATTGGTGTCAGGTTATTATTATTGAAGTTGTTGCAACGACAACAGGTCAAAGATTATTATAATAATATTGTGCCAGGCTTTCTGTAGTATAGTAAGTGGTAGTAGACTTTCCATACACACACACACACATCATTTTATAGTTTTTTTTTTTTCACGATCAATCAAAGTTTTGATTTAAGAGCAAAAGAAAACAAAAGATAATTTACAAGTTTCTTTTTTTTATTTTTTTCATGTTATTTTTTAAGTTAAAAGAGAAAACCATCTTTCCCGAAGACCGGAGTTTCATTAATATTTTACTACTACAGTAACTTTTAAGTTTTATTTATTTTTTTTTTTAAATAATAAATTACTTGAATGACTGATTTATTTATTTATTTATTTAAATAATTTTTTTTTTCTATAATAAAAAAAAAAGTAAGAAAATTATGTGAATATTTTTTTTTTTTGCGGTCAAAATAGGAAAACATTCATCAGATAAGATCGGAATTGATGAAAACTGGCCAATGGAAATGCACCACTGAAAAAAAAACTTCCCTCCTCTCTTTTTTTTTTTTCTTTTTAGAATATTACTTTAATAATAATAATACTAATAATAATAGAATCTTTTCATTTCCATTTTATTAATTTATTTATTTATTTAATTTTTTTCAAATTAATTAATGATATTCTTTTTATTTTTCTTCTTTTCTCTATTCATTTCATGTACATGTAGTAGACTAGTTGTAAGAGTGTCTCCGAGCACATTTTTTTTTTAATTTTATTTTGAGCAAAAATTTGTGATGAAAACGAAGCCCTTTATTATGTCATTTTATTTTAATTTAATTTAATTTAATTTAATTTAATTTAATTTAATTTTTTTTTCTTACTACGGTGTCTGTCAAGTGAAAAATTTTTAGAGTCAATATAAATCTGTTAGAAAATAAAAACTAAATTTTTTTCTTTTTTTTTTTTTATTTATTTATTTATTTTTTTTTAAAAATTAATTCTTTTTGAGTCATAAATGAAAAAAAAAAAACAAAAAATTATGATTCACCCTTATACAAGAAATTCTTAACTCTGTCAAAACAAGACCTTTTGAGGAATTTCAAATTCATCATCATGTCGTACTCCGTTACTTTAAACAAAAAAAATATCAGAAAATAAATAAAAAATGAAGGGGGGAGAGAGAGAGAGAAAGAGAAAGAGAGGTCTGCTGGTGCAAAAAAATTTCGTAGCGATTTCCTAATGAAGAACTCTCCGCTCTCGTTTGTGTCGTGACAAAAAGAAAGAGAGAGAGAGAGAGAGAGAGAGAGTGAATTTTTTTATATTATTTTTTCACAAATATTTGTGAAATCAAAAAATTAAGGAACAAAAAAACAAAAAAAAATCAGTTTAAACCCCGGAATTGTTTTTTCCCCTTCTCATTTGTTTATTAAAAAAACTATATAGTTATATTTTTTTTTTTTAAAAAAAAAAAGAGCTTTAGAGAAAATAAATAAATCATTTACTTTCATAACCATCTTTTTGTTCATGAATCATCAATTATATTTCAAGTCTTATTTTTTTTTTTACGTACATGTGAACTACGTTTCATACTAGAGAAAATATTCGTATACTAACCATCATCACCACTCAATCAATATCCCCCATACACGCACGCCTGGTGCCTAGAAGAAAAAAGGACGTATAAACGAAGAGAATCTAATCTAAACGAAGAGAGCTTTTTTTTAATTTTTTTTTTCTTTTCTATTTTAAACATTGTTTTTATTTTTCTTATTCTTATTCTTGTTCTTCTCAATCAATTTTTTCCTTGGCCATCACTTTATTGTGGTTTGGAAATCGTTGATTGTGGGGAAAAATGGTACTTTTTTTTTTTTTATAATTCTTTTCTTAGGTCTCTCTCTCTCTCTCTTGGATCGTGTTTAAATATACAAAAGTAATTTTGAAAACCCTTCTTTTTTTTTTTTTTCTTTCTTTAACTTGCCTTCTCGGATAAATGCCATCTAAATCAATGCAATGACGATGGCGAAGTCTTTGATAGAATGATGTATTTTTTTTTTATTATATAAACTCACTGAAATTAAACACACACATTTAAGCGAGTAAGTTAGTATATATATATAGAATCTTTTAATTACTATGATTCATGCAAATTATAATAACTCATCAACTTTTTTTCCCCATTTTTTTTTTTTATTTTTTGCAATTGTCTTTATCAATTGAATATCATTTTCTTATTTCTTTCTTTTATTTCTTATTTCATGGAGTATTTTTATAATCAAATATGTGTTCAATCATCAAAGTAATCAATTTAATTTAACTCAAAAACAAAATTCATAACCAGAACCAACACTTCTTCTCTTCTTCTTCATCATAACCCGAACCTTCGAACATAATCAAACTTGATGTTTTAGGAAACAACAAGTTCTACCTGCCAAAAAAGAAAAAAACAATTTAAAAAAAAAATTAAAAAAATAAAACAAAAAAAAAAATATTTCGGGAACCAGAGCTCCCGTCAATCCGTGATGATAATATCCCAGCTTAGTACCAACAAAAAAGTATTGTCAATACATACCACCTTGATAGTATATATATTTGTATCAAAGGTCTTATATCTAAATTTTACTATTAATATCGGTATGATAAATACACTTTGAGCTCTATTCATCATCACGACCACGACTACTCTAAACTTTTCCCCTTATTTCTTACACTCCTTCACCCCTTACAGGTCGATGGTTCTCGTGATGAGTGCATGTGCGTTGCTAGTGTGTGGAGAAAAATAAAAATAATAAAAAAAAAAAAAGTCCATGTAATTAACCTGAGGTAGCGAGAAATAAAGAGGAACAAAAAGCATTAGACCTGACGTACAAAACAGGCGATAAAGAGAATCAAGAAAACCGGCACACTCTGCTGCCGCGCGCGTTGAAATTGAGACAGGAAGAATAATAAAAATAAAAAATAAAAAAGAAGAAAAGAAGAAAAAGACCTAGTGGCATGGTGTGTATGTGTAGTAAAGAGTTTCAAAGCATTGACAACAATCGTCTGATCTTTTAGTACGATTAGAGTAAATTCTATGTATTTTTATATATACTCTCAATTGATTGTTATTTCTTTTATCTTAAATTTTTTGTCAATTCAGGTTAATGTGGGTCCATAGATATGTTATGTGTATACTAATCTAGATATCTCTCTGCATTCGATCTTTTTTTATTTTAAACCACTTTATATACAAGTCAATGGGTTTTGAATTTTTTTTTTTTTGTGAAACTGTTGCCGTGCCTTTTTTCTCTTGTTGGAACTGTTACTACTCAATCCTTTTTTCTCAAAAAAAAAAAAGAAAAAAAATTATTAATATAGATATATAAAAAGTGAAGAAACTAGAAAGAGAAATAAGTGTCATGAATGGTAATGATGAAGGTTGGCACTAATACGATGCGTGCATATACTTTGAATATGCAATGATACACCTTCAATCGTTAACAAACAAGTAAAACTTTACTTGAACTCAATTCAATTAGAGTAAGAGAGTTATTTATTACTTATTACTATATTTATATATACTTATTTGAAAACCTTGGATGTTTTTCTCACTTCAAAAGCAGATTTCTTTTTTTTTTTTTTTTTTTTTTTTTAACTGTAACTGGTTATACCCAAACAAAGCAGTTCAATTGACTCAAAAGAATTCCCCTCATCATTTAATTTTTATCAGTTTCAATTACTATTAAAAAAAAATTGAAAGCAAGCCAGTGTAACGAGAAAACCCCTGATGTGTGGTGAAATTACAATGTTATCAGTTTCTTAAAAAAAAAAAAGAAAAAAAAGAAAATGATATAGTATGACATTAAAAAAAAAAAGGAGATTAAACAAAAAGAAAGATAAAGAAAATTAGATACGCAGATTATTATCTACATTCACACCACATTGTAGAATAAGATAGTGTAGATATCAAGTATCGAAAAAGAAAAGATTAGGAGGAGGAGATGGAGGAGGGATGAAGAGATTTACCAAGTGTGGCCGTATAATTGAGGCTGAAGAAAATTGTGTTTAGTGGTGTGTGCGTTATGGATATTTTTTTTTCTTACATATAACGGTCATTCATCGTTGATGGTTGTTAATAATTAATAACCAGTTTGCAGACTTTTTTTTTTTTATTTATTTACTAGTATTGTACTACTGCCACAACTACTACCACTACTATTACTACTACTACCTCAACAACAACCAAAATCACCACTGTCATTACCATAACCATTTTATCACTACCACTGTCATCACCACCGTTTCGGGTATCACGGGCGGTTTTCTAGCGCACGACCAAAGAATAGGAACCTTCATGGAACACATATACACAAATACCCCTATATCCATCCATAATATGGCGTGACAGTACTGTAATAAACTTAATTAAAGTAGTTGATATAAAAGTTTACGCCTTATTACAAAAATTTGCTGGGTATTTCATTTATATATATCTCTCAACCGGATATCTTGAAAAAGGGTATTATTCCGTTGAAAAAAATAAAAATAAATAAATCAAATCAAAATAAAATAAAATAAAAGAAAAAAAACTTGTTACTTAGTACTGAATAAGAGTTGACTAAACATAGCATACTTTTGAACCTGTTTCTTGGTAGTAAGTACAGTGCAACTAATATTAAAAAGAAGTTATAATTAGTTTTA